TTGGAGATTCCTTAAGAGCAGAAATCTTGGCACTACATCAAGGTGTAAAACTGGCCAAACAGTTGGGGCTACAACAGATTGAGATAGAGGGAGACTCCAAGTTGGTAATTGGGTGGATGCAATCAGGGCAGCTAGGAACTTGGCAATATAGACAGCTGATAAGGGAAATTCTTAGCATAACAAGGGAGGTGGGTGTTTGGTTCAAGTGGGTAAGGAGATCAGCAAATGGTTTTGCTGATGCCCTAGCAAAACAAGGGACTGCAAGGGAGAGTCTTTTTTGGGCAGTGCTGTAATGTTTGATGTTTATTGGATTGACCTTTTCTAATAAGGGTTGAATTCTGTATTTCAGGTTAATTTATCTCTAATGAAAGTTATCGTTTCTGATAAAAAAAAATAGTCTTTTCTCTGTGCCTGTCATGGAGAGAGAGACCTTATAGATGTATATATAAGAAAACTTTTTTCACATAATAGAACAAAAAATAGCAAAAAAAAAAACTTGTAAATAAATTGAACTTTTTTTAAAAAAAAACCCTGAGAATTCTACCATGTATTTGAGGTACAAGATGCAGATAAACTAAAAAGTCTGCCAGAAAGAACTTATTTTTTTTGTACTTGTTCTTTCCACATAATATGAAGTGTTTAAAATGTTTTAAATCACAAGAACATATAAACACTTAGGTTGCGTTTGGATAAGCATTGGGTTTTGAGCTTTTTAAAGCCCATGGTAGAAGGCCAGATTTGGGCTTTTGGCTTTGATTATTCTGACTTTTGAAGCATATTTTCAAAGTAAAAGCAAGCAATATGTGTTTGGTAACACCAATTTGCTTTCAGCTTACTATATACACATGCCAAATCCATTGGATAAATTGAATTGAAAGAAATTACAAATAACTGAATGAGATTGAAACAAACAGATTATCAAAATGAGATAAAAGCAAACCCAGAAACAGAGAACTCAACAAACAAATAACTGGTTCCTTTTAAAATAAGCTTTAGTACAGCGGCGTCACTGAAACCATTCCTAGATTTTAGCTCTTTTGATTTCTGAACTCTGGTAACCTCATCATACCATTTTCCTACCTGTGTGATTGCATCTATCTCTTATAAAACCATCAGATCTGAATCTTTCATATCAGGGACTGATATGATATACAATGAAGAGGAGGATTAATATTGTAAGGGCTGCAAGGCTTTGTCAAATGTTGATTTATGAGTTCATGCCTAATGAGACACTACGAGATTGGCTTGGTGAGCGGGATGGAGTGTGATTTAGGTTTCCCTGCGAACCAGAGAAAAGAAGTGAAGATTGAAGCCAAGAGTTTCTGCTTCGAAAAAGGTAGATACGAGGGTAAAGAGCTGTTAAAGATTAGAGAAGAAAAAAGAGCCATCATTTTCATGTTCGAGGAAGTGATTGTATGGTTGAAGGGTTTCATGGATGAGACAATTTCCTCCATTAAAATATTTGGGCTGGAAGAGCGAAGTAACTGCAACTAGGATTTGAAGCTGAGATGAGAAGAAACACATGCTGTGTGTGCCAGAGGGTAGAGAGAGAGAGAGCAGGATGGAGAATGTTTGCAGTGGCCCTACAGGAGTTTCTGTTGAAGGTAATTAGAACTCAAAGGTCAAATCTTTGTGGTGGTTCAGAAATCCGTGATAAGCAGAGATACAGAAATAAATCAAAGGAAAAACAAAAGTTCGAAGGACCTCAAGCTATAGTATGTGTTAGTGTCGGCTGTATAGAGGCAGTTTTGTCCTTTTATTTATATTGGGAGTGAGGTGTAATGTTTGACTTGAGTGATGTGTCCCATACTTAAGTAGGGGCATAACAGTCATTGTGTTCTATTTTAGAAAACTATAAATATCAACCTGGTCGACTAGAGAGAGTAATTTTGATTCTGATATCAGCCAATAGAGTCTTAGACAGGGAAAGTATCGTGGGGGCAGTTGTGAAGAGATTCAATATAAAAGGTATTGTAAACTTTAGACCTTTTGATGACTCAAAGTTCATGTTACATGAGTTGACGATGAAGTTGTGATTCCAAGTGCTGAGATGGTGGAATTCCAAGCTGGAAGGGTAAGGGTAGAGAGCTGGTTTGCGTCTTGTAATCAGAATCATGTCTCAGGAAGTCTTCTCAAGCTTCAGTTAGTAGGGCTCCCCTTTAATTACTGGAATGAGGAAATTTTGGAAAAGTTGATCCAAGTCTTGGGTGGAATGTTGACAGCTTTCAACCTCCAAGATCTTCATGCCTCGAAAGTAAGAGTTGATGGTTTGAAACCCGAAGTAGTCCATAGATGCTTATAGCTGTTTGATGATGGCCTCTGGATTAAGGTTTGGGTTCTATTGGAAGTTGAATTGCTTCTATGGAGGAAAGGTTCTAAGGAAGAAGATGGCTGCATCCTCAAAGGCTGGGTTACACGTGGAAAAGAAAGTCTTAGCCAAAAGTCATTGGCTAGTGGCCAGGTGTCAAAGGAAGACAAAGAGACTCCACGTGGGTTAAATGGGAAGTCTCGGGAAAAGAAAGTTATTAACTCAAACCTATTGGAAAACGGAGACGAAGGTTAGCAAAAAGTCTTATGCGGAGATTACTAGGGGCGGAGACACATCAGTTAATATTTTGGGATCACAAGACTTATTAAACCAGAGGTCCGAACCGGGTGAATGTATTGAGGGTGAACTAGATTCTTTTCTTGGGCAAGTTGGTGACTCCGAGTCAGGTGTTTA